GTTGCCTTAGGTGATCTGGAAGTCTGCTTTTGACACTTGTTTACGTGTCTTCTCATTTCAACAGATGCAGCTTGCTGTGCCTTTGTTGAGGCAACTTTTTGCTCACCCAATGGTGAGCTGAGAATTGAAGAATTCTCAGCAAGCCACAGCGATGCCTTTTCTCTGCTGCTCACCACTATACTAATTCCTGGGTTCAGAAAGGTGGCCTTCTGGATCCCTGAGCTGACCTTTTGTCTAGTTGGGCTTCTGGATTGGGCCCGTGCACACTTGGGATGGTATCTAGGTGTGCCACTGGCTAGAGCTCCTATGTAGCTGTTGTCTGGGAGGGCCTTTGGCTGGGGGCTGTGCACCCCAGTTCCTGTTGTGTGAGCAAACTTCTGGCTAGGGTCTCTCACACTTACTGATGGTATTGGGGTGAACCTCTGGCTGTTGCCTGTGTGCCTGTGTAGCTCTTTTCCAGGTAGCCCCTTGGCTTGAGCCAGGGTGCCTCAGTCTCTGAAGTTGGGGCAGAGCCCTGGCTGGGATCTGCTTGCAGCTGCACTGCTCTGGTCCACACTGCTGCTCCCCCAATTAAGATGGTCTGGTGTGCCTTTATTGCACAGATTTTCTTCACTTTTCTAGTGAGCTTTAATTTCCATCAATGGGGCTCAGAGAAGCCCTCTTCCTGGTGTTCACTTCTACTCTATCTTCTCAAGCTCAGAACAATTCCCTTTATCACCCCTGCAACTCTGCATTGTGGATCCAGGTAATGGCTCAGCACAGCTGGAGTGGAGGGTGCTGTTGCCCACGAGGCTCACCTTCTTGGCACTCTTCACCTTCCTTCAATGCAGCTGAGGAGCAGACACAGTTCCACACAGGAACCCCCACAATTCCACAGGGCCACAGCGACAACCCCCAACCATGTGCAAATACTGTGATTACCCCATTTTGATACATCTTTTACAAGAATTTATCATGAAAAAATAATATAAAATCAATAATCGTTAAAACATATGTAGCCCTTTTAACTTTACAAAAAAATTCATAGAAGGAAAGTGAATTTTGGGAAAAAATATACTATGTATACAATCTGGACTGTAATCAGAGGCCACCAAAAATGCATACACACTTCAGGCAAAGCAAAATAATAAATGTCTGGAAGCTAATGGCTACCATTTTGAGCACCTCTTATAACTGTAGAAGCCGAAGGTAACTTGTATTAATCTCATGATATCTCAATAAATTTAG